TGAAGGCTGCAGAGTCGATTATCAAAATATACCCAAGTGTCATTGATCCTAAAACCAATCAACCTCTTCGGACTGTGATGTGGCCTGCTACCAATCAAGTTAAGCAGATTCCTATTCTTCAGAATCATCCAGATGGATCTCTAAAGTCCATGTTTTACTTGGTGTTTGATGAGTCTACGGCCTCCGCTGTCATAAAGCTTGAACATGGATGTATTCACTTGTATGACAAAAGAGATCTGCTACAGTTCGGGAAGTGGGATATACATCAACTTTCTCATCATCAGATCATGGTCACTGAAGACATCTTTGAGTCTGCTGCTAAGGAGTACACTGCCATGGTTGCTGAAATTATCAGAAAATAAATATGGTATGGAGCTATGGGGAAGTCAGACGTGCTAGTGGTTGATAACGACTAAGTCCAAGCTTTAGTGGTTTGGTCTAGGCTTTCATTGTAATAGTTCCCTTTAAGTCTTTATTATAGTTTAGTGAGTTGTTTAGCAGTTTACGGCCTTGTGGTGAGTTTACGGCCGTAAACCCAGTTTCCGGTCCAAGTCTACTATATATAGAGGTTGTCTAGGTCATTGTTGGTTGTTTATGCCATAGAGTTCACGGTCAAGTAATATCGAGTTGTACCAGACGTTTTTCAGCTATAAACGTGTGCAAGCTTGATTTCTCTTCTTCTACTACTCATATTCTGATTACTTGTGATTGTTTGATTGCTTGATCATTGGTAAAGATCCGTTTTAGGACCTTACAGTATCTCCCGTGTATATCATATCAAAACAATTATCATACCAAGCCAAGTTTTTACATTTGCTAAGTTAGAATATAGTTTCCTATGAATCGTACATTATCTAAATTTATTAGCTTACTATCACTAATAAACGTATCAAGGTTTGGGGTTGCGAGGTTTTCGTAATAAGAGAGACTCACGACAAGCTAGAACCTCATAGTAAGCGGTGTATTTTCATCGGCTATCCACATAAGTCCTTTGGATATCTCTTCTATAGACCGAGTGACAATGTTGTCTTCATTACGAGGAGAGGGGTTTTTCGAGAGCGAGAACTCATATGCCAAGAGGACAGTGGGAGGAAAATTGATATTGAAGAGCTTCAAGAATCAAATGATGAAGGAACCTCTAACACTGGCGCTCAACCTGAGGAGGAAACTCCTGTTGAACCAATTGACGAGTCCCTACCTCTTAGACGTTCCAGTAGGGTTTGTGTTCCACTTGTGTTGTATGGTTTCCATATAACAACTGAAGGTGATACGTTTATTAGTGATAGTAAGCTAATAAATTTGGATGAACCTAACAACTACAAGGAAGCCATGACAGGCCCGGAGTCTGCGAAATGGAAAGAGGCTATGGACAGCGAGATTCAGTCCATGTATGACAATCAAGTTTGGAACTTGGTTGACAATGTTCCAGGTCGTAAGACGGTTGGGTGCAAGTGGATCTTCAAGAAGTAGACCGACATGGATGGGAAAGTACACACATATAAGGCGCGATTGGTTGCAAAAGGCTTTACTCAAACTCCAGGAGTTGACTGTGATGAGACCTTCTCACCGGTTGCGAAGATTAAATCTATAAGGGTGATGCTAGCCATAGCTGCATTTCATGACTATGAAATATGGAAAATGGATGTCAAAACCGCTTTCCTTAATGGGAAGTTGGTTGAGGATGCGAAGCACCCTAATAGAGTGTGTAAGCTTGAGAAATCCATTTATGGATTGAAACAAGCATCTCGCAGATGGAATCTTTGTTTCGATGAGAAAGTCAAAGAGTTTGGTTTTTCAAGAAGCGAGGATGAGTCTTGTGTATATGTCAAAGCCAAAGGGAGTATAGTTAGCTTTCTTGTTTTGTATGTGGATGACATACTACTCATAGGAAACGACATCCCAACCTTGCAGGAAGTTAAGTCCTGGCTTGGGAAGTGCTTCGCTATGAAGGACCTCGGAGAAGCTGCTTATATTCTAGGGATAAGGATATTGAGAAACAGGAGTAAGAGACTAATGGGACTTAGTCAGAATACTTACTTGGATAAAGTACTAAAACATTTTAGTATGGAGAATTCTAAGAAAGGGGAGTTACCAATCCAGAGCAACGCCAAACTGAGTAAGACTCAGAGCCCGAGTACAGAGACCGAGATAGCAGAGATGAGCCGAATACCTTATGCTTCCGCAGTTGGCTCGATCATGTATGCTATGACTTGTACTCGCCCTGATGTGGCATTTGCTTTGAGCATGGTCAGCAGATATCAGGGAAACCCTGGCAGAGCACATTAGACCGCAGTCAAGAATATTCTTAAGTACCTTCAGAGGACCAAGGAATGGTTTCTAGTCCTCGGTAGGAGTGATGACTTAAGGGTGTGAGGGTATAGTGACGCCAGTTTTCAGACCGACCGAGACAACTACCGTTCTCAGTTAGGCTGGGTCTTTACCCTGAATGGAGGAGTAGTGACTTGGAAAAGTTCCAATCAGGAGACCGTAGCTGATTCAACATGCGAATCAGAGTATATAGCGGCGATCGAAGCGTCGAAGGAGGCGATATGGTTGAAGAAATTCATTGGAGACCTTGGAGTTGTGCCAGCCATAAAGGAGCCTATGGAGATTTATTGCGATAATGAAGGAGCGGTTGCCTTGACCAAGGAACCGAGGGATCATCGCAGATCTCGACATATCGACAGGAAATATCACTTTATTAGACATCGGGTAGAAGAGGGACTCCTCGTAGTTAAGAGGGTATCGTCAGAGGATAACCCAGCAGATCCCCTTACGAAGGGATTGAGTAGGGTTAAGAACTTGCAGCACGCTAGGAGCATTGGGCTAAAGGACGATATTAGTTTAGATTAGATAGCTTCGAAACGTGTAATAGATAAATTGTAATTAACATTTGATGATTAAATAAAGGTGTATTATTTATAAGTAAAGTTATTGTCTTGTGTTAATCATTTACCTATTGTTTCACTTTGCATGTTTTGACTTCCTGAATAATAAGATTATTCGAAAAAGTCCACAGTCGCTCATACTTTGGAAGTATGTATGAAAGAAGACTTTCATGAATTGGTTTGTAGACTGTCTAAAGTGTATTAGACATAGCAAAAGTTTGCTACAACGTTCATGATTGCTTATGAACTAAGATTTGAGCATTGGATTAAACCCGCACTTACTGTTATCACTTCATGGAATTTATCACGAGTGATCGCAAGACGATAATATCATATAGTCTTTAAACCTAGATATATGGTTTATTGTTTGCAAGTTGTTTGTACATTGATAATGCGTAAACGCATCAGTAACTTTATGTTATAAAACGCATTGTTGTGTATGATTTGATGAGTGAATAGTAAATGCATATAAGTCGAAGTTTATATGTTCCTTTTATCCTATGAGGCTAAAAGCAATATCTGGGCCCCTCGATGATTTGGTTTGACTTATGTTTCGGGCCCGGTCAGGACTGAATTGATGTGTTCAATTAAGTTCTATGTCATACGAATCAGAGATCGAGAAACAAACTGCTGGACAATAAGTATGACTATGTTCCATGTATTTGTCCGCACAGTATCTAGAACGGAGGATTATACGATCCTTTATCTAAAGGACAGGTTATTGATAAGATCAAGAGTTTTGAGAACTGCGATTGCTAATCGGATCTTGAAGTCACACTTGTAGTTACTAGACTTATCCAAGTGGGAGACTGTTGGATTAGTGTCTAGGCCCGTAACTATATTTGGTATGTACTTGACCCGGTTGTGCATGGTCCTTTTGGGTTGCCTTCACCAAAGTGACTTGACTGGATGAATAATAGAGAAAGAGGTTATTCTGGTTTATTAATATATTATAAGAATAATATATTAAGAGAGAAATCATATTTATTTAATTAACATTGGTCAAGAATTAATTTTGTGGTCAAAAGAAGTTAATTGAATTAAGGGGACTAAACTTGTAATTATGTGATAGTTGCAAAGTTTGGTAAGGAAACCCTAGAGTATAGGGTGGACGAATTCTAAGGATAAGACCTTAGGAATTCGTCCAAGGGGCTTCTAAAATTATCCTTTGGCTGTTTGGTGGCTAAGTAACCAGATAAGGATAATCACTGAAACCCTAATTCCCACACTTATATAAGGAACCCTTGGGCATGAGATTTCGGCTACACTGAAACCCTAGGAGTCTTGGAGCCGATTTTCCCTATCCCCTCTCTCTCTTGCTTCATCCAATTGCTTTTGGTGTTTGTGATTCATTAGAGACATAACACTTGGGGTGCTAAGGTTCTCAAAGCTTCAAGATCTACAATCAACAATCAAGGTATTCATCCAACTAGTTTATTTGATATTTAATTAGTTTTGTTGTATGCTAGAGACCAAATTTGCAGTTTAGTCTAAAAAATTATTATTTAGCTACGGTATAATCTAATAAGCGATTTCAAAAAAATCATCTATAATAAATAAAGATCTTATTCACACATGTCATCTTCTCCTTTAATTTGCTACATGTAATTTTCTCATAATTTTTGATTTATTTGTTTTCCACATGTAATTTGCTTATTGGTTCCATTTTATTTTTAGTGAAAATCATTGATTTAATTAATTCAAGTCATTCTTGAAATAAATTATAATATTTTCATTCATGAATTCGGTACTTCCTTCTACAAACATGGTTTTGTTTTCCTTTTTTATTTTCATTATTTACATAAAAATAACTTTTTTCAATTTAAACTTATTTTTACATAAATTTGTATTACTTTGGATTCATTTACATACTTATTCATCAAAGATTTTTATATATATAAAAAATTATTAATTTTCAAATTGGCTAACGTTTATATATTTAATTTTTTTTAATAAACTCATATAATACACTAGTGTCATAGCCTTAATAATAAATCAAAAATGACTTTGGGACTCAAATGCGACTAGGGGTCAATTTTATTTATTTATTTTGGCATGTTTCATGGTTTTTGATATTTATGGCGAGAGACCTAATTGGGCCGACCATCAAATATACAATAGCGTCCTTAAGTTACCAGTCTTAGATCTTCTTTTTTGGTGGGAGACGGAGGGAATAATGGCGAGTGACGGAGCGGCTGTGGATGCCAGCGGAGCAGCGGCGGAGGTAGTTGATAAGCAGCCCCATAAGTTAGAGAAGAAATGGACGTTTTGGATCGATAATCAATCAAAACCTAAACAAGGCGCTGCTTGGGGCAACAACCTTCGCAAGGTCTACACTTTCCAAACTGTCGAAGAGTTTTGGTGGTAAACCCCAATCACTATTTGTTGTTTTCTGTAAATGCAGTAAATAACATTTATCTGGATGTACCTTTTTCTATGTTCCCATCCCATTGTTAGAGATTATTATAATAATTGATGCGAATTACTTTGCTAAAATGATCTTATTTTCAATTAGGTGTTTAATGAACGAAATGGAGGTGAATCTAACAGATAGATGAACTTAAAGTCTATAAAAATAAACCCATTAAGTTGATTGATGACGAAATTTATTACAGTTTATACGATCAGGTGTTCAAGCCAAGCAAATTACCAGCAAATGCTGATTTTCATTTGTTCAAAGCTGGGGTTGAACCTAAATGGGAAGATCCAGAGTGTGCTAGTGGGGGGAAATGGACAGTTACTAGTAGCAGAAGCCTACCCTTGAAACTATGTGGCTTGAAACAGTATGTACATCTCCTTCTTCCTTTACCTTTAAACTTTTTACCTTTGTGTGTAAATTGTAAACAATTTCTTGGTGTAGTTAATGGCTTTAATCGGAGAGCAGTTTGATGAAGCCGATGAGGTTGCTAGCGTTCGTCAAAGGCAGGACAAACTTTCTTTGTGGACTAAAAATGCAGCTAATGAGGCTGCTCAGGTATTAAATATTTAAATCTATTTGGACTGGAGTTTCTTTATGAATGTTTTTAAAGCTCAAAGTGAGTATTTTTTACTTTTCATCTGTAGATGAGCAGTTTGAATTTTGACATCTGTCATCATTTTTCCAATTCTGAAAGCCATTCCTCAAATCATGATTACCAACATATTAAAGCTAAAGTTTTCGATGATATATATATATATATATATATATATATATATATATATATATATATATATATATATATAGATATGAAATATTTGATGAGAAAAAATATATTTATCTTGATACAAACTATGAAAAACTAAAAGTATGTTAAGCTAAGAATCCAAGTCTCTCTCCGTTCTTTTTCGCTAGACGAATTAGCCCTTGCCGTTGCTTGGAATCGGCCCCTATCGATTTACAAAACTCGGTGATTACCTGAAAAGCATAAGGTCAGTTGTGTAATTTGTTATTTCAAAGACTATATAAATATACCTGTGAGTGTAGAGCAATTGCTTTTCCTCTAAGCTGATTGAAGCGTTTCTTTCCGACTATGTTACGAGTGATGACAACTAATGGTGCAAAAAGTCCTTTACCTTCATTCACGTTTCCCATCATTGGGCCAAAACTTAATGGATTTTTTCGGAATTTAACCATAGTTGTCTTTGTGAGCATGGTGGAGTAATCTTCACCGGCTATGGTGCTGCCCCAGCTTCCATGGAAGTAGGAAGAAAAGGAATTAGTTGCAGTGATGGATGAAGTCGCCATTGCTGAATGGAAAGTTTGGTTGAAGGAGGTTAAAAGGCAGGAGATGGGTGATATGTGATGTGAAGCCTTGAGAGCCACATATACTTTGGTGGTTTATAATTTTGGTTGATTTTTTTTATCTACGCGTTTGAAAGACTAAATAGAATATTCTCCTCTTCGTAGATGGGTCCCCACTTTTATTTCATACAAGCTTATTCGACTTTCTTTGCTTTTTTTTCTTTGGTAAAACTAAACAGGCTTGTAAGAAAGTTAAAAGATAGTCGAACGTCTACCTTCTGCCGACCATATTTATAGAAGAAGGCTTGGACTAAAAAGAAAAAAAAACTATTTGTTATTTAAAGTTTGCACCACATCAAAAAAAAGTGAAATTTAAATAATTTTTTTTTAATTTAATACTTTTGATAAGGGAGCTGATCCGTAAACAATAATTTTTCTTCATACACAACAATTGGTGCTTTAAAATGTTGTATTGTACAACTATATAATGCATGAATTGTTGTGTATGGCAAAAAATTGTTGCGCACGAATCACTTCCCTTTTGATAATTATAGTTTTATGACATTGAAATTAAATCCATACGTCCGCCATAACAATGTTTTTATTAAAAATATTAATTCCATATTTTGTATTAACTACTCAAAAATGTCGTCTTGTAAATTAACCATATATTTTTGTTTGCTATACTAAGGGTGAGCATGTGGACCGTACCAGACCGGACCTGGACCCTTTTTTGGACCCCCGGGTTAGTTCTCAGTTCTAGAGTTTGATCAAAACCGGTCTGTTTTTTTTTTCTATTTAGTCCGGCCGGTTCCGGATAAAAACAGGTTTTGGCATTGATTTAAAAAAAAATCAAATCTATTTTTGTGAAAATTTTTAAACAAACATATCTCAATCTTTTTAAGTCGGATTAATAACATGTAATTTAGATTATGTAGATGATTTTAAACTATAATTTTGTTGTTTTAGGTATTATATTTAATGAATTACAATCATTCAAAGTTGGAATATCAAAACTAAAATATTTCAGTTTTTCAACAAGAAATTTAAATTTTTATATCATGTGAAATTCTTAAACAAACATATCTCATTCGTTTTAAGTTGGATTAACATATGATTTTTTTTTCAACGTGTAATTTAGAGTTTGTAGATGATTTTAGACTATAACTTTGTTTTTTTTGGTGTTGTATTCAATGAATTACAATCCTTTAAAGTTGTGATATCAAAGTTGAAATCTTTCAGTTTTTCAGCAAAAAAATTTAAACTTTTGTATTATGTGAAATTCTTTAAACAAACATATCTCATTCGTTTTAAACATGCGGTTTTTCTTTTCAACGTGTAATTTAGAGTTTGTAGATGATTTTAGACTATAATTTTATTCTTTTTGGTGTTATATTCAATGAATTATAATTTTTCAAAGTTGGGATATCAAAGTTGAAATATTTCAGTTTTTTAGCAAAAAATTTAAACTTTTGTATTTTGTGAAAATTTTTAAACAAACACATCTCATTCGTTTTAAGTCGGATTGTTATGTGGTTTTTTTCCAACGTGTAATTCAGTGTTTGTAGATGATTTTAGACTATAATTTTGTTGTTTTTGGTGTTATATTCAATGAATTACAATATTTCAAAGTTGGGATATCAAAACTGAAATATTTCAGCTTTTCAGCAATTATTTTAGACTATAATTCTGAATTTTATGGATCTTTGACATATAAATCATATGAAATGGATCTTGGTAGAGTACCGGAAATTTTTGATTTCGAAATTGTAACGAATATGGTGAAGTTCTTTGAAAAATTCAAGACAAAAACAGAGCTTGTTCGGCTACATTAAAACCTTTGGTAAATCTTTTTTTATCCGGGAAGTCTTAGATGTGGACATACATCTAAGAAAGTGGTCAACCAAACCAAAGTTTATCGATATGGTAAAGGACATGAAGGTGAAATATGATAAAGTCATTAACTTATTTGATTCAAAGTTCAATCAGATGGTATAAACAATCAAAGTTTGACCGATCCACCGGGTACAAGAAACGGGAACGTATTCATTTTTACGAGTTGTATTATATCAAATCCAGAAACATATTCATTTTAACGAGTTTTAACGTATCAAACCCAACAACTATTCGTTTTAACGAGTTGTATCAAACCTACAAAATGCGTTTTAATGGGTTCTACGGTATGCATGCAAAAGAACCGGAAAACCCGACCCTAGACATGGAGCCGGTAAGTCTCATCCAACCCGGTCCATGATTCACAATATTCTCCAAAACCGGTCTCATCAAATGCTCACCCATACGCTATACTATAGTGTGCTTCATCTTCGTTTTTATTATCATCAACGTGCACATGGTTATTTCGAAGCGGGACACTGAGTTGATTCTTACTATTTAAGTATTCTTATTTATTAACAATGTATTTTTATAAAATGGTACTATAAAATGGTACTACACTTTTATAATGGTATTGCAATTATAAAATGTATTTTTATAATTGGCAATGTTAAATATAATTTTTTTGAGTAAACTGCAACATTGGTCCTTATGGTTTGTAAAAAAATATGGATGAGCCCAAAATCTTTCTAATTTGCACCAACAGTCCCAAACTTAAACTTTTTTTGTGGTTATGGATGGTATCTGAAAACTTGAAATGACTATTTTGAGCCATTTTTTTTAAATATTTTATTAATATTTGAATATTTAAAAAACTAAAGAATGGGCCACCCCACCAATTTTCTCTCTCTCTCTCTCTCTCTCTCTCTCTCTCTCTCTCTCTCTCTTCCCCCCCCCCTCCATCCCTCCACTCTTTTTCTTCATGTTCCCTAACACTCTCCGTTTCATTTAATGTTTCTTCCATTTTCTCTTTTGTAGTTGTTGGGTTTGTCATTGAAATTGCCACCAACCATCATCACCATTAAACCACCCTACCTTCCCGTTAAGAGCTCTTTCAAGTAACCACCACTAGTAAACCATAATGCCAACCTTTGTGCCATATTACTCCAAATCACAAAACCACCCATCTAGCCCATTACTAAATGTTCTTAGGTTAAACTTCCAGATGATACCCTTATATCCTTCCAATCATATTCTATCAATCAATAACACTTATTTCTTTCTTGATTTTAATCAACTAAATAGAGTCATGAGCATTTAGATGTACATGTCTAATAATAAAGTATGAGCCTGATTAATCTTCCTCCCTATAGCAAGGATATAAGGAGTAAGTAATTCTTTTAGAAAGAATACAAACATGAAGATCTATACACATTTAGCAAGACTTGTTGAAGACTTTAATCATACTCATGTTAATGACTATGATCAAACCTTTCCTCAAGTAGCTATGGTTCGATCAACAAGGATATTATTTACCATAACTACATATTTCGATTATGAGATATGGCTAATAGATTTTAAGAAAACTCATTTTTTCTTAATAAACACCTACTTGAAGATGTTTATATAGCATAGACCGGAGGTTTTCTTAATAGAAGCTATCCTAACAAAATGTGTAAGCCTTAAGATCCATTTGTGGATATAAGGCAAACATCTCAAGGTTGGAATCATCATTTTAATATGAAAACACAAAGTATGCTTTTATATCAAAAATTAAGATAACATATGTGTTTACTAAGAATTAGTGGGAGAAAAAGTGATATTCCTAATCTTGTATGAATGAGGCATACTTAATCATAAGAAACTACATTCCGACTAAAGTCTTGACTCGAAAAGTATTTCTAAGATGAAAGACCTAAGAAAGACAACATACATTCTTGGAATGTTAAATCTATGGATATAGATAAAGAAGAATGTTAAAGTTTTAAATCTTTATACATACGTTGACAATATCTTGAAAGAGATCAAGATACAAGATTCCTTTGGATAACTCTTTGCATTGCCACATGGCACTATTTTGAGTTTGCATCGAAAGGACCTAAAACATATGTTTGAGCTATATAAAATGATTTATATTCTATTTGCTTTGACAAATGAGACCATCATTTATGCCATATTATTCACAAGACTAGGTATATGATTATATTATGAACATATCATAAGATACCAATTAGATACATGGGTAAGTCATTAGATGACTATAAGGACGTTCTACGAGTACTTAAGAAAAACTAAGAGAATGTATGTGAGTTAATCCGTTTAGAATATCTTTATGTAAAGGAGTTACATAAGATGTTAACTTCAAAACAGATAAATATAATTAAGAATTATAATTGGATTATGACTTCATTAAGAATGAAGAATGATGTAACACCTCGACTCTCAGGTATATATTTTACAGCTTTATTTCCACTTTAAAGGGTCTACTCGACGAGTCGGATACCCTGACGCGTCGAGTAGGAACGAAATCAGCCGCATGTTTTAAGTGACCAACTCGACGAGTCGGAGGACACGACTCGACGAATTGGAGCTGGAGGATGAAACCCTAATTTTCATGGTTTTTCACCCTCTTTAAATGGTCATTAGCCTCCCTTGGCCTCCCCTCACCATCCCCTTGAGCTCTGAAACTCTAATTCGCGTCTGCCCTCCATTTTGTGTGATTTTCAAGCTTAGAAGGTGATTTGGAAGAAGAAGGCTTGAAGTATAAGAGGATTGAAGTATAGAGGAGCTAGTGGATCTGACTCTTCTGCTTATTGGCATCATTTTGAAGGTAACAAGTCGTTACCTTGACTTTCCTCCTTCTAGATCTCTTCACGTTTAAGATTAGGGCCTTTCTAGCATGTATGTGAACCATTTTCGGGTATGGGCTAGGATTTGAAGTTGCAACTTCAGATCTGAACTTATCTTGGTCTCTATAACTATAAAGTTTCCAGCTTTAGCAAGTATGAGCTATTCCCTTTGAGTTAAAACCCATTCTAAGCTTGGATTTGTTATTCTAAGCCTTTAGAGCCTTGCATGCACGTAAAGTTTGCAACTTTACGTGATAAGGATGCCTTAGGAAGCTAGATCTATAATTTGGAGCTTTGGGGTGGCTTAAAATCGTCTGAATGAGTAATGGACTGAAGGGACTCGACGAGTTGCATGGTCAACTCGACGAGTCGGATGAAGATTGCATGGGGATGGTTTCTGCATGGACTCGACGAGTCAGTGAGAGGACTCGACGAGTCAGTTAGGGTTTTCCCCGACTTCTGGACACGCATAGACTCAATGAGTTGGTCGTAAACTCGGCGAGTCGGTGAGGGTTTTATGACCTTCTGAACCCTTAAGGAACTCGACGAATTGTTAGCTGCACTCGACGAGTTGGGTCAACATGGACTGTTGACTTTCACCGTTGACTTTGACTTGGACCAAGGGTTGACCAGTTTGACCTCTGGGGGTATTTTGGTAATTTGGGGATTTATGGAAGCGAGTCATCGGTGGATGTAGGTGTTGGATTTGGAGCTGCATTTGGTTGAGTTGACTTTATCGATTCGAGCTACTTGTGAGGTGAGTTTTCCTCACTATACTCAAGGGTCTAAGGCACCAAGGTCGGCCCTTTTGGATTGTATTCCTGATATGTTATACTAGTATGAGCTGTTAGATTAGTATCCTGGTAGATAGGATGGTATTATGTTGTTATGATCTGTTAGATCAGTATCCTGATAGGTAGGATGATGCTATGCTATTTTGATCTGTTAAGATCGGTTTCTTTGTCTATAGACTACTATGTGGTTATTTGATATATGTACACATGTTTGATTGGTGGTTGAGGCTCATCTGATTTGTGCGAGAGCCAATAGACCTGGGCATTCCAACCTGATGGTTGTGGGCCGTGAGTATTCCATCCCGAGGATGATTGGACTCGTAGTATGAGGGCAATCCAACCCGATGGTTGTGGGCCTGGGGTATTCCATCCTGAGGATGACTGGACCTATAGTATGCTGGCATTCCAACCCGATGGTTGAGGGCCTGGGGTATTCCAACCCGATGGTTGATTGGACCCATAGTATGTTGTTTGTGTTTATGTATATGTTGTTGTGTGTGTGTGGGTATTTTGGGGGAACTCACTAAGCTTCGGACTTACAGTTGTTGATTTTGTTTCAGGTACTTACGATGGTCGCGGAAAGGCGAAGGCATGATCGTACACCTCCTATTGTTTATGATTTTGATTCTGGGATATTTTGACACTGAACTATTTTGGAAACAAGGTTTGTAATAATCAATGGTTTTGAAATGCTTTTAAAAGTTTAAATTTGGCATGATTTTTATGAGTGTTACAAGTTGGTATCAGATCCTTGGTTTGAGTGAATTGGAGGAACACTCGTGTGAATCCAGTCTCAAACTAAGGACAAAATTTTCGAAATGATTTTCCAAATGGTTTTCAAAATAACAAAGGAGGATGCAGAGTGTACGATCTGCTGGAGACAGTAAGTAAATCCCAAAATACCTTACAAATTATTTGATTTATGTGATATGTTAGAACAACATGTTAGTACTAGGCTAGGGATCTTCAGGAATTGCATGATAGAATTGCCTGATTATATGATGCCTGATAGTCTAGGGTCTTTCCTTATATGAAATTGACATCATTACTGTAGTTGCCTAGTGTATGCATTACGGCCGTACATAATTAAAATCTTATAGCCTGAGAATGTTTGGTTTGGCCTTATTTCATGTTCTTGTTTGATGAAGGGCTTAGGGTAGGATCAGGTATTTGAAAGTGTATAGGGTTCAGCGTTATGTATGGCTAGCATATACGAGTGTTGCAGGGTCGGTGGAAGTTTCATGGATGGGTTGTTTGAGAAGAGTTCGCCGGATATGAGATAGACAGCCTCCCACTAGGAGTGAGGGTTGAGCGATCACCATGCATATATATATTGTTAGGGCGTTGTGATGATACTTGAGACAAATATGGGTAGGTATGGAAGGTAGTATGAGCCTGTACTACTAAAAGTACAGGACCCATACGCGTAGCAAGGAAGTCACAATCCCTAGGGTTTAGTTGGGAGTTGGTTCCCTGTTATTTATGCGGCTTATCTGATATCTTCATGGTATATTTTCAGTATGGTGGTTACGAGGCGTTTTGTGACTGGATCCGGATCGAGATCAGGGCAGGGCGATCAGGATGCCTCGACGGAGCCCGAGATTATCGGCCAGGGTGGGCCAGCGTTAACAGAGGATCGTGTCAGGGAGATCATCCGCGAGGAGGTGGTCGGGATTGTCCGGGGTCAGATTCCAGAGATGTTTGGGTCTATTAAGACCGCCATGATGGAGTATTTTGATGACATATATGAAGCCCTAGCTGAGACGGCTGCCGCAGCAGCTACAACGTATGTAACAGCGGCAGGGGGGAGGAGCCAGTCGGGCTTTTCATTATCGGGACTTCGATAACACGAAGCCCCCTTCTTTTGATGGGACTCAGGACCCCATCAAAGCCATGAGGTGGCTATCTGACGTGGAGGAATGTTTCTTCACGTGTTCATGTCCTACTGACCAGAAGGTCAGATGTGCCCTGAACCTGCTGAGGTATGGGGTAAAGGACTGGTGGAGATTGATGACTGGATCGTATTCTGATGACCAGAGGGCTGCGGTTACTTGGGAGCAGTTCAGGGATATGTTCCACGCTCGCTACATCCCACGGGTTGAGCGGGAACGACTGGCTCAAGAGTTTCTGGATTTGAGACAGGATAGTGAGACAGTGGCGGAGATCACCCGCATGTTTACTGAGAGGGCGATGTTCTTCCCGGAGTTTGCTTCTGAGCAAGCTCAGATGACACGTTATTTGAGCATGATCAAGACTGATATTTGACAGTTTGTGGCGAACCAACGTTGTGATACGCTTCTGGACCTACAAGAGGCCGCTAGGCGGCGTGAGTTGGAGATTGAGCTGCAGTTGAGGGAGCAACGACAGGCCCCGACACAGTCTCAGCCCGGCGCCGAAGCGGTCCAAGACCGCTGATACTAGGACTGGAGGACAGTCAGGCCGCACTTGTGGGAAGTGCAGGAAGCCTCATTCGGGGGTTTGCCGATCGGGGGAGCGGGTGCCACAAATGTGGCAAGCAGGGCCACATTGCTAGGGATTGTAGGCAGCAGACCCCAGCCCATGGGGCCAAATTATGTTATCACTGTGAGCAGATGTGCCATATGAAGGCCCAATGTCCCCTACTAGCCACCAAGCAGGCACAGGCTCCCGCGCCAGCTACACTGAGGATCACTGACGGGGGCCAGGGTCGAGCAGTGCCCCCGAGGGCCCAGGGACGCGCCTTCCAGCTTACAGCAGAGGAGGCCCGAGCAGCACCAGACGTGGTTGATGGTATGTTTCTATCCCTTATTTCACTGATTATATCTGTTTTATGCCTATATGTTGGTACCTGTGATTAGGTACGTTTTTAGTGAACTCCTTACCTGCTTTGGTATTATTTGACTTGGGGGCGAGTCGGTCGTTTGTTTCTCAGTCTTTCAGTAAGGAGTTCGGGTTGCCAGTGGGAGAGTTAGAGTGTCCGTTGCGAGTCTCCATCGCCAACGGACACGAGGTTTCCGATCTTTGGTCTATCGGGGTTGCGTATTGGAAATTTTCGGAGTATCTTTTTCGATAGACCTGATTCTGATTTCCATGGGGGATATATGTGTGATTGTGGGTATAGACTGGCTTAGTCGTTTCGGTGCCATGATTGACTGCGAGGGGTAGCGGGTAGTAGTCTGAACCCCAAGTGGGGGAGAACTGATCGTTTACGGCGAGGGCACGAGATTGGGATCAAGGTTTTGTTCGGCTGCCAGGGCTCGGCAGTACATTCAGCACGGGTGTGTGGGTTATCTAGCGTATGTGGTGGATACGCGGATCAAGGATCAGGTTTCAGTATCGGAGGTTCCAATAGTCAGAGAGTTTGCTGATGTGTTTCCGGAGGAGTTACCAGGAGTGCCTCCGGAGAGACAGGTCGAGTTCAGGATCGACCTTGTGCTAGGTGCGGCCCCTATCGCCAAGGCGCCGTACCGGTTGGCACCACCAGAGATGCAGGAGTTGTCATCACAGCTGCAGGAACTGATGGGCAAGCAATCCATACGTCCGAGCAGTTCGCCATGGGGAACGCCGATACTCTTCGTCAGGAAGAAGGATGGTTCACACCGGATGTGCATTGATTAACGGGAGTTGAACAAGTTGACGGTGAAGAACCGTTATCCACTCCCGAGGATAGATGATCTTTTCGATCAGTTGCAAGGAGCATCTTGGTTCTCCAAGATAGACCTGAGGTCCGGGTACCATCAGGTCAGGGTCAGGGAGGACGACGTGGAGAAGACCGCATTCCGAACTCGTTATAGACATTACGAGTTTGTGGTGATGCCGTTCGGGCTCACCAACGCGCCAGCAGTATTTATGGACCTGTTGAATCGGGTCTGCAAACCGATGCTCGATCGCTCGGTCATAGTGTTCATAGATGATATCTTGGTGTACTCCAAGACCCGAGAGCAGCATGGGGAGCATCTACGGGAGTTATTGGGAGTTCTGAGGCAAGAACGGCTTTATGCCAAGTTCTCGAAGTGCGAGTTTTGGTTACGAGAGGTTTAGTTTCTTGGACACCTTGTTAACCAGGAGGGGATTTTGGTCGACCCGGCCAAAATCGAGGCGGTTATGCAGTGGGAGGTTCCGAAATCCCCCTCAGACATCATGAGCTTTTTAGGATTGGCAGGGTACTACCGGAGATTCATATAGGATTTCTCCAAGACTGCAGTACCCCTCACTCGTCTGACAATGAGGGGGTGGATTTCCAGTGGGGCCCTGAGCAGCAGAGGGCGTTTGAGACCCTCAGACAACGACTATGTGAGGCTACAGTCTTGACTCTTCCAGAGGGAGTTGAGAACTTTGTAGTTTTCTGTGATGCATCCATCACAGGACTGGGAGCGGTCCTCATGCAGAGAGGATGGGTGATAGCCTATGCATCGCGACAGTTGAAGCCGCATGAGACGAGATACCCTACACATGATCTGGAGTTGGGAGCGGTGGTATTCACTCTCAAGATTTGGAGACATTACCTCTATGGGTCCGCTGTACCATCTACACGGACCACAAGAGCCTGAGACACATCATGGATCAGCCGAACCATAACACGAGACAACGTAGGTGGTTGGATGTAGTCAAGGACTACGACTGTGAGATCCTTTACCACCCATGTAAAGCGAACGTGGTGGCGGATGCTCTAAGCCGCAAGTCAGCTGGATCATCCACTCCTGTGACATGTATGAGGATTTCAATGGATTCTACAAATTATGGGCTTGATCAGGGAAGCCCAGGCAAAGGGTATGTGTCAGGAGAATTGGAAGTTGGAGAGGATTAGGGGTGAGAACACCCGGTTTGTTCAGGGGTAGCCGGGGATTATTGACCCGTTGTGGTCGGGCCTAGGTTCCGATGTCTGGTGGGGTCAGACAGACTATATTGGAGGAGGCTCATAAGTCTCGCTTCTCCATTCACCTGGGGGCCACCAAGATGTACCGGGACTTGCGATTGAGTTACTGGTGGCCGTGCATGAAGCGAGAAATCACTTGGTATGTTGAGAGGTGTTTTGACCTGCAGGATGGTCAAGGCCGAGCACCAGAGGCCGCATGGTAAGTTGCAGCCTCTGGAGATTCCCATGTGGAAATGGGAGCAGATCACGATGGACTTCATCACCAAGCTGCCGAGAACGGCGAAGGGGTTCGACGCTATTTGGGTCATCGTGGATCTATTGACCAAGAGTGCTCATTTTCTGCCCATTCGGGAGAGCTCATCGGCCGAGAAGTTGGCCGATGTATATATACATGAGATTGTCGCTCGTCATGGGGCTCCGGTCTCTATCTTCTCAAACCGAGATGTACGGTTTACCTCCCGATTTTGGCAGAAGTTCCACGAGGAACTGGGCACACGACTTCACTTCAGTACAACCTATCATCCGCAGACGAACGACCATAGTGAGCAGACCATACAGACTCTTGAGGATATGTTGAGAGCCTGTGTTATTGAATTCGGTGGGAGCTGAGACTCCTACCTACCCCTTGCAGAGTTCTCCTACAACAACAGCCTTCACTCCAACATTGGTGCTCCACCATATGAGCTGTTGTATGGACGGAGATGTCGCACCCTAGTCTGTTGGGGTGAGGTCGGTCACAGGGTGATGGGTTGGACTGAGGTAGTCCTGCAGACTACCGATATGATTCAGCAGATTAGACAGCGGCTACA